CTCATCATGATGATTGGATGTGTAACTAACCCTCTGGCTGTTAGGGTGCAATTAAAATTGCGTTATAGTAATGCATGATTATACGCAGAGGATATTTTCGCTTTTTCCTGTTGCCAATTTCGAAACAAAAACTATTGACATTTCTGACGGCTTAGTACACGTAGAAGCCAAATATGACTTTACATTTAAAGAAAAAACAGAAAACTGCTGTACAATCCATATCTTTATGTCAGGATACATTTGTAGTACTTCCAACCGGTTATGGAAAGTCCTAAACTTATTTACATTTCTATGTTACCAACGCCGTATAGAAAATTTCATTTTGATTAGGCATAGCATAAAACATTAAAAAAAAAAGGATATAAATAAGAAGATGTGGTATGAGTGCCAATGAGACAACTGTCCATCTAATTCCAAATGTGTAATAAACATGTGAAAACTCTCTCACAGGCAAACAACCCAAAATTGTCAAATATAAGGGTATACACCACATGCACGGGGACACATCCACACAGCACGAGCAACACACCCTGCAGTCAATATAGATAGGAAATAATAATATAAATATATAAAAATGTATACAAAACAAAAACAAAGAGCATCATGCACATATAACAACAATAAGAAAATCGTTGTAAACTCGCCCTTATCCGACGTCTCGACCGCCCGAATAGTTCAAGTGGTCATGCTTAAAATGAAATATAAGCAAACAGCTGATTAATTACGTAAGTTGTTAACCCATGCATAGTCAAATTATAACTCAGCCTCTGGCTGTTAGCATTTCTCTTTACATAAAGAAAAAAAATTAAATTAAAGAAAAAAAATGTTCAAACAAAAGTACGAAGTATAATAAAATGTCGGCAATTTAAATTTTGATTTCTGCCAAAGGGAAATAACTCGAAATAATCTTTTTTTAAAGATAAATCGAAATACCGATCTGTTCGTTATAGAATTCGACGGAAAAGGGCTATGGCGCCAATAATTTCCAAAAAAAAAACGATAAAGCGCCACACCATGCCAAAACTTCCTGTAGGACATACTATAATATTAGGATTTCATATCGAAATAAATAATAACCATATGAAATGAACACATCCAGACTTAATTCTTAACTGTGCATTATGCATAACTCGTCATGCACATATATTTATACATGCGTAAACCAATAAAAAAAGTTATAATATTGTTACAAAAACGTCAGTTGATTTTAGAGGATGTGACTCTTCTATCCAGTCAGGAAACCAATTACGAATAGTTGATATTTCAAATGTCTTAGGAAAATCTTTAGACAGGGAAAATGAGATACATGTACGTATTTTAAACAGTTTTAAATCTAATATATTTTTTGTTTTATTTCTGAACGTTTTGTATGGATTTTACCTGCCATTTTTGAAACAATAATAACTGTTGCTTGTCTTAAACATGTTAAACATAACTAAGTTTGCAATATAAGTGCAGTTTAGCTAAAAAAGAATTACATTATGCTTCTTATGATTGATATATTTTTTTTTCAAATAAAACCAAATACATTTTCCGTTTTTTTTTTTTTTCTGTCTTAAAGTAACAGCCAAGAAATGCGGTGTTCCCGTTGTAGCATTTACTATAAAATATCCATCCAACATCCATGTGATGTGGTATGTCAGTCACAAATTCTGATCCAAATGACAGTACTTCACATCCAAAATTGAAAAATTGGCTGTTTTGTTGAATAATATTCTGAACTTGTGGGGCATTTATCGGTGTGTCTAGGGGAACTATGTGTATTAGCTATGGAGTGCTATATCCTCAAAATTCAATGAATAAATGTAATCAATATTCCTATGTTGTATCTGGTCCTCGATGCTTTTCAAATTCGTACTTTATTTGGCCTTTTTAACGTTTTTGATTCTTTGATTCGAGCGTAACTTATGAGTCTTTTGTCGACAAAACGCAAGTCTGGCGTACAAAATTTAAATCCTGGATTCTGTGATGAGTATACTGTAGAGATAAATGATTTGTCTGTAATTATTTTAATATGTGTTTTATTTTATGTTTGTCTACAGAGCCAGCTGCAAGTAAAGTTCCCTAGGCCTGTTTTACACTTTCATATATGCAAGTGGTTGTCTTAATTCGTATCGTATTGATATTGTTAGTTGGGTATACATAAGGAGACTTAATATGACTGCCAATGAAACAACTATCTACCAGAAGCTCAAGGAACGCTACATGGACCTCAACAATGAGTAACTTATAGTTGTTTCTTTGTCAGATATATGAATACTATGATGAATTTGTCTAAAACTTGTTTTGAGCTATGTAACATGTGAAGACATGTTTCTGTTGTTACAGATTGTATGTAAACTCCTTGATATAGTGTGCTTATGTTGCTGTATCACTGATAGATTGATTGATTTATTGTTTCTTTTTTAATCCCAGTTATATTTGTGATCAGATCACGGAAAATACCTATAAAGATGGTGTCGTCTGAATGATAGTTGTTTTACACAAACCTGTTCAAAGCACTGTTGAAATTATAACCCATACACATCTTCGACAGTCCACAGCGCGTAGCACACTCTATCTGTGATGGATATTGAATGTTACCAACTAAACCATGTCAGCTTTGTTATTACCCTTGACACAGCTATCAAAACGACCAGAAAATTCATCTGAAACTGAATTAAATTTCAATCATTCTACACTTTTTTCATAAAGAACAACTAATCAAATTTCTAATTGTATGACATTAATACAAAAGAATTAAGTTTTTTACATGCTAAATTAAAATTTGTTAGTAACACATTATATTCCACAGGACTGTTACATTAGTTTCGGCAGGTTTGGTTTAAGCATAAACAGCATGTAAAATTGTAATATTCTGAAAATTTTGGCGAAGTTTGATGCACTGTTGTTAGTAACATACCACGGTATTCCGAAATTATAATGGAAATAGTCCCTTTATATGTTCAGCTAAAATGTGTCAATATAATTCAAATGTGATCATTTAACACCGAGGACCAGAATTCCATTTTCACGTTTAAGCTGAGTTACTGTTTGTAAGACAGGAGTTTGATAGCAAGACATAATTTACACCAAAATGCTTCATGTTAATCCGTTTTATACTGCATCTCTAAAATCCATTACTTGAAAGGACAGCAGCATTTAATTTAGATATTGGTATATAAGTGTGTATTCTCACATACATATACACCTCTCGCCAGGAGGTTCCGGTTCGGGGCACACTACAAATGAAGGAGTTCAATATTTATTCTATATTAAATTGACATTAAAATAATTAAGGTAAGAAAAAACAAAATATTTATTACAACAGCAAACATGATCAAATAGATTGATAACGATCGAGAATAATCAATATAAAAAATAGAAAAATGATAAAAACGATAAAAACAGCAAAAACGAAGCAAAACATGCCTATAAAATCATAGATCCCTTTATTTAAAAAAAGTATCCTCAATATTAAGTGTATCTAGTATATGAATGCTGAAAATAGTTTAGGCTACTGAAAAACAATGTGGAAAAGAGATAAAAACGATTTTTGCAGTTTTATATCAAAAAAAAAAAACGACGGGTGCCACATGCGGAGCAGGATCTGCTTACCCTTCCGGAGCACATTATATATCCCCAATTTTTTTATTGGGCTCGTGTTGCTCAGTATTTAGATTTCTATGTTGTGTTTTGTGTACTATTGTTTGTCTGTTTGTCCTTTTCTGTTTTAGCCATGGCGTTGTCAGTTAATTTTCGACTTATCAGTTTGAATGTCCCTTTGGTATCTTTCGCGTAACCACATTTGATCCAGACTGATGTAGATAATAAATTAAAGAAAAAAAAATAATGTTTACTGTATCTTATAGTTTTCAAAGTATTACCCAACATTACAAAAGCGTATTTTATAAGAACAATACGTATACCAGGATTATATTGACATTTACATCGTATCTACATACACGTAGTATAGTTTTTATGTACTTTGCGAAAGTGCATAGATAGTTTAATGTTGTCTTCAAAGGGCAATAACTCATTAAACATGTAAATGGAGATCATCAACGACTTCGGTTACTCTGTCTTTGTGTAAATTGACAATTGTGGGTCATTATTTTGGTGTAGAGCTTATAAGAAAAAGTTCCTATGCGTTTTTTGTTTTATCTATGTACATTGTGATAATGTCTATTGATTCCAATCTAGTTTAGCTAGAAAAAGAATCACACAAGGGCTTTATCGTTCACTGTAGAAAAAAATTAAATCAACATTTGGATCATTTATTTTAGCGATGTGGAGAATCAAAAGAAGCACAGAATGAAATATTGTGTTTGTTTCAATGTAACAAAAAAATTAAATTAAGCACCAATTTGAACACTTATTTATCAATTTGAAATATTAAAATGTAAAACACATTGTAACGTTGATCAACCTGGAATATAATTGATGCTCAAATCTTGACATTAATTTATCAATCATTGATTATGTTAAATACAGAAATGCAGTAAAAAATTCAAGTTCTTTTATCAATTTAAAAAAAAAAGAGCACTTAATTTATATTAAATTGAATGTAGAATGAACAAAATAATAATAACATTCCTTATATTTATAAGGAATAAACAAATTAACCACTCGTTTGACCATAACATGTACTTAAATCGTTGTTGAATAATAAAAGCAAATATTTTTACATTACCTTCTAGATATATTTTCCACTCCTCTATTTCAGAAAAGCCTGTATACTTCAATATCTCCCACTTCAAAGGGATTCGTATTTATCCAACTATCCAATGTATTTTCAGCCACAGTCCCAGTTCCATATGCGACATTTCCACCGGCCCAACTTATCCAAAATGGAAGATATATATTACAGTTATAATATTTGGATTATTTAAAAATTACATATAATAGCTACCAGCATTTAACGAATCGTTTGGTCGATATAGAATTCGCGACCTTGTGTTACGACTATTACCAAGATGAATCTCATACAATGGTTTAGACGAATCTTTTACATCGGAATTCTAAAGAAGAACAAATGTATCTTTACATGCCTTTACTTCATACATCAATAAAGTTATTCCAGTAAGATCGAGGTTATAGTTACTGATGGCTGTACTGTACTTCATAATATCAGGTGTCTGACGAGAAGATATACCTTGTCCAATGTTTGGGGTGGATACGTTATTTATGATATGTATACCTACAAATAATATATACAAATAAATTAATAAAAACATCAAGGGTATTGCCGGTCCTTTTGAAAAAAAGAATTTGCATTCTGTCGTAATGATTATGACTTTTTCCAGATCACGTATTTCCCGTTGAATTTTAAATGAACGGCACGACATCTGCCATGTATATATGCAGTTAAGTCTGTTTTGAACATATCTTGATTAGAAATCGGCAGTTATCTTTAGTTGGAGGATAAAAAGTATTATTTCTATTTTCCCTTAAGTTTGGGAACGTTTCCTCTCTGTGAATATCACTCAGTTGATACAATACCCAATATTTTACGTTAACTATCAAGATTTCCTTTAAGAAATAAGTTATTCAGACTGTAATTTTTATGGTACAGTTAAAGACACTTCGTCGAACATTTATGGACACTATAATGACTTGGTTGCCTTTTTCAGTTTGAAACTGGTATCTCGTAAGCCCATGTATTGATCTATTTTTGTTGTTAAGTGCCACAGTTCAGAACTACATGCCTATTCTTTTTAATGACCAGACAGAACAACAGAACTTGGGAGAGAAAACTGGCAATCGTAATCAATTAGGACTCACAATATCGGTGTTGACAGATAAGTGATTGCTGTATATAAACTAATTAGACTTTTCGGCCACCGATGACCCGTATATACCATTGATAAGTTCGATCTATTCAAGTAACTGACTTCGTTTCCTCGTTCATGAAATCATCAAATGGCACAGAACAAGCCAAGAAAACGGAAACAAAACACCAAAGGTCATTAACCGGAAACTAAAGATCAATCAAAACTACACACAAATAAGTTTGACACAAATCAAGTAGAATCCGATATCCTTTTATCTAAGTTCGACCCCTCCCAATCTTTTCTTCTGTATTTTGTTCTTAAACAGTTCTTTATGTTATCGTCGTTTTTTCTACTGGTCAATGCATATTTATTTGCATTCCATAAATGGTTTGTTAGTAACTTCTTTCTATCTCCTCTACTGTTCATCTAGTTAACGCTGACTTAGTTGCATCAATGTAATAGCAGACGTGTTCTTGATCTTTTGTTTTTGTTTTGTTTGTGGCAAAACTTAGTAAAAGTTTTATTGCTTTTATAATAGTTTACAAATTACCTTAACCGTTTTTTTTATGATATTTTGGCTCTTAATAATTAATTAACTTTTTAACATAAATTTTCCCAAATGGAACTTAATTTCAATAATTCTTATATTAACAACGATAAGTATCTTTCTACATAAGGGTATTTAGATTTCACACGTGAACATCAAAACAACAAATAACGATTGCAATGAGACGTTTCGTTTCTTTTTGTTAATTTTTCTATTTCTTACTTTGATGTTTGTTTGTTCCCTTTTTTAAGGTGTGTATATTATCCAACTTATTCGGTATGCTCAAGTCTGTAGTAATGTTTAAGATTTTAAATAAACCTAATATATGTATAACTAGTAAATAATGAAGTCAGGGATTTCAATACAACGAATTACTAAATAATTAGACGTTAGAAATATTTGGCTTTTTTTTTGGAGAAAAAGCAATACAGAAATTGCATTATGTTTGGTGGCCATTTTATGTCAGTGTTGTAATTTCTTTCAAAGCTTTGTACTATAATGAGCGCGTTGAATTGTCAATAGAGTTCCAATTTACACTGAAAGATGTATAACATCCAAGAAAAGGTTACAATGTTTAACACAGCATGTGTAGATCTAGATATAGTTTGATGAAAACATATTTGCAAATGATCTTACCTCCAATTTTAACAACATGAAGACATAAAATTAAGATTTCTGAATGCAAAACCATATTGAATATTATATCAATAATTTCCTGTATAAAAATATGACCACTTATATCTTTTCTCAACAGTTCATTGCTTTTCGAAAAGTTTCAAGCATAATAATTGTCGATATTAAAAACTATCGATAAATAACTGTCCACATAATTACAACAATATTAAATACATAATATCCATAGACATTTATCAATTTGTTGTAATAGTTCAGACATAGACTTCATGTATTACGTACAGATAATATTAACCTTTTATGAGCGTCGCTAAAATTGTTTTAACACCATTAATATCAATACCCGTAGATATTTACTTACACGTCAAACAAATAATGACATTTTATAAACCCTAACACTTCGTTCCGTGTCCGACAAAAATGTCAACACATGTACCCGTAATTACTTATGTTTGTCCACATAATAATGCTTAAATTGATAATATTATTATAACCGAAGATATTTATCGACTTGTTGTATTCAAAGTGTTTAGACCGGGAAAGTTCTGTAAATAGAGTTTGAGTTGATAATATAGTTTGAAGAAAAAAAAACGCATCGATGTTGCGGTTAAATTTAACATAATATTTGTACAACTACTGTTCCAAACTGTCGATAACGTAAATTAAAACAAAGTGAATTTTACAGGAGTCCAACTGGAGTGATTTAGGTTTTTGCAGCATTGAAATTTTCGTATTAATACAAGTAACAAAAAAAGTTAAAGGGATTCTCACAGTCTAAAATACTTCAAAGTTGTGACTGACATTATCATAGAGGTCTTAAAGGGGCATTAACTACGAGATACATAAACAAATTAAATTGTGATTTTTTTTTCTTCAATCATTAATGAAACTGAAAAAGTGAAATAATAATTCGCTATTAGCAGCCAGTATAGTTCAATTGTGTCAAAATGAGCTGAGGAATTTCGATAATGCATAATTCACTTGCAAGTGAATAATTCGACCTCATTACGTCCGTATTCATGTGGACTTCAATTTAACCCCTTAGCTAGTGATGTATTATGCATGATTGATGTGTGTTAGGCTATTGAAAGAAAAAATATGTCAACACTGAAAGTGAAACAAAGGTAAGTCATTTGATTGACTGATTCGATCCCAAAAAATTCTATCTTATACAGGTAAAATCGAATATCACTTATTTTTTTAACCTTTAAATTGAAATCAAACAGACATAGATAAATCCATTTGCACGAGGTCCATATATCTTTTTATATTTATGTATATGTTTATATCGTGTTTAGTGACAATCGGATGTTTTCATGGTCATTTCGATAATTATTAAGAAGGCGTCTTGAATAAAATACACATGAAACGAAGCTACATATTATCGAGCCGTTGCCCTGTTAATTTTCTATTTTAGACTTTTTATAATTTGGATAAATGTTTTACATTGTTATAAATCTAATATGATAATTTGAGTCAAATCGGTGAACATGAATTAGACAGCTAGTACCCCTTTAAGGCAAACAAATACATAACGATCAAATGCAGTCTGTGATAGTCTTGAAACGAAACAAAACACTGCAAACCAGTTGGATGACTATGACAATTCTGCTTCTATTCGTACTAAATTGATAAAATTAAACCAGAATTGACTCCACGATACTTGTTTTTGAAACCGTAGTTGTGAATGAAATACATTCAGTCACTGCCCGTAGACGTAGTGTAAAACTATAGGTTACGAATAATGTATATATGACATGTGAATTTGTGTGCAGAAAAACAAAACTCTGGCATGTTCGTTTTTAGTGCAATTGAAAAATTTGAGGACATGATTTATATTCATATAAAAAGTGAAAGGATACCAATGGTATAATCGACCACTACAGTGCATCATTTACAATTATAAGACGAGGAACAAAGACAACAAGAACAAAAAAAAAAACACCACTAGATTCAGACCACAAAACTAAAAATTGAGCACTCTAATATTGATCTCAATAAAAATAAAAAACTATGTAATTCAACTCTTAGTTTTTAACTTTATCCTTCAACAGATAAAGAAAATATAACAGGTGTCTTATACTCCGTCCGCAATTTTTGGGGGAAAATCAAGAACACGCTATTTCTGCTTTATCAAATTCCAATGTCGATAGGATAGCGAAATTAGTTTTCTTTTATTGTGCTTTTGGTTATCTTTCCAAAGTAGTGAACGCAATTTTGAAGTATTTTATTTCCCTCAAGTCTCAATTCAAGATATAATGACTAAATAGAGCATAAAGGGCCAAATATAATAATGTTACACTTGTAACTGCAATTTGATATTTAGTGGAATGTGAGAAGAAATGCGTAACGACTCCTACAAGACTCCTGATAGCATGTTAAAGACTGATTGTTTTAATCTAAAAGCCAATTGTATCCAATTTTCATAACCTCTGCAGAAATACTGTCAAATTCTATGTTTAACGAACTTGATTATACATGAGGATCTCACACGGTCAGCTCTATTCTTTCATCTATTGATTCTTTGCATCAATAGATTCGTCGTTTATTTTTAAATCTTATTTCATTTTTTTTTTATCTGAGGACCAACAAGATAAAATTAAAATATAAAATATCTGCCGATTTTTATAAATTTTCGCTATGTATCAATTGTATTTTTGGCGTCTTATGTTAACGTGTTAATTTCAACAGCTCGTATTTCAAAAACAAAACCAATTGCCCCTTTTTTATTTTATTTTGCCAGAAAATGACAAACCTGATCGAGATTATCTTCTGATAGTACTGTCAGGTCAATAGTGAACTCGAGAGCTTTTTCGCTTTCTCTTCTTGTGACATTACATGAAAAACTCAAAGCCTCATTTATCTGGTTACATGAACAAAGCCAAAGTGTGGTATACAATATGAAGGACAAACAGGACGGGAGTTTTTTTTAAATGAACACAGGAATACCTATACCGCTTCTGAAAACCTACGAAATTCAAAAGTATAATTAACCAACATTTAGGTAAACACAACCTTATATTAAATGTATAAGATTTCAACCGCTCAAACAAACAGAAACAACAATAGCAGACTTGTTTTTGTACTGTTATGAATCACAATTTATGACCATGCTCAGTAAAGACCCGTCTAAATTGCATTTTATTGACCAATTCAACAACACTTACATTTATGTTGATGATATTTTTCGTTAAATAAACAAGAATGTTTTCAATATAGTGCCGAAATTTATCGTAAAGGAACTTATTTTAAATAAATCAAATGTAAACGGTAATATCTGTTCTTTCCTAGACTTAAATATTTCGGATTTACGCGGAAACTCCAGTCTAAAATTTACGACAAAAGGGACGATATTTCGTTCTCTATTGTTAATTTTCCCGTTTTGAATGTTGATGTTCCTTTGGCACCGTCTTACGATGTTTATATTTCACAACTAGTTCGCTATGCCCGTGTCTTTAATCTATGTATTACTGGTAAATTATTCCAGGGATTTCGTTACCACAAATTACTTAAAACCTTTACTAAACTCTTCCATATTTATAAAGATTTGGTTTTGAAGTTTTTTTGTATCTGTAGAAATCCTATTTCCTCATCCTCATTTTTACGGAAATGTGTGTTTACCGTTCCCGGAATTTTTGAAACAATCCTGGTAAACTGATCGATCCTTTAAATGAACTTATTCTAAACGGTTACCAATTCAACACTGTGGTTAGGTCATTGAATATTGTTTGTATTGGTATTAATATAGATTTTGTTATCAGTAAACTGAAAGCAGACTAAATGTTATTGTTATATACATGTGTACATATACACATTCATGGATCTACAATCCGTCGATACCTATATCTTGGCATTGCACATGGTCATGTGCTTCTCTGACTGTTTATGACGTCTTTACGCTAAATCCATTAGATGTTGGATGTGTCCTGATTGATAATTTAGTCTTAGGTGCATGTGTCTTTAGTTGTTAGTGGCTTTGAACTAGCTGTAAATAACTGCGAGTACTCTCAAATCAGTACTTAGTGTCTTTTTGTTGTTGGGATATACAAGTACCCGGCCACGTCCACTCTGTGATTTTGTTAGATTTATTTCTTTTTGTATCCATCTGATCAGTTAAACCATTTTCAACTGATTTTTATAGTTCGTTCTTATGTTGTACTGTTACACCACTGTCCCAGGTTATGGGGAGGGTTGGGATCCCGCTTACATATTTAACCCCGCCAAATTCTGTATGTATGTACCTTCCCCAAGTGAGGAGCCTGTAATTCAGTGGTTGTCGTTTGTTGATGTGTTACATATTTGTTGTTCGTTTATTTTTTGTACATTAATTAGTCCGTTAGTTTTCTTGTTTGAATTGTTTTACATTTGTCATTTCGGGGCCTTTTATAGCTGACTATGCGGTGTTGGCTCTGCTCATTGCTGAAGGCCGTATGGTGACTTATAACCATTTGACGTGGCTCTGTACTTCCTGTCATTGTGTGTTATTGTTCTATGATAATTTTTACATTCTTATCTTTCATTTTTACCAATTGGGTTTTTCTATATGCCTTTTAGTGTTTCTTTATACATATTACGTATCTCTGTACTTATACATCCCGTCAGTGTTCTATAGTTTGTTTTGTATTCTTGTCTTTAATTTTTTCTAATGTACTTTGTCTATATGCCTTTTTGTGTTTCTTTGATACAGATGACGTGGCTCTGTACTTATACATCCCGTTATGTTATTGTGCTATTGTGAATTTTTGTATTCTTGTCTGTCATTTTTGCTTATATGCTTTGTCTTCATGCCTTTTTGTGCTTCTTTGTTACATTTTGTGTATAGTGGTTAATATTATAACACAATGTTAACGGCTGTACCCAAAATTTTTAACATTTTTACCCATTTTGTCTGTTTGTTTTGTTTACACATCGTTGTCATTATAATGGAATTTAATGGGACTGTCATACAAGTGAAAGATTTAGCTAGCTTTATAACCAGGTTAATGTAATCCACAATTTTCTACATCAGAAAATGCTTGTACCAAATCAACTCAAGTTGTTATCAATTCGTTTTGATATGTTTGATTTTTTGATTTTCCCATTTGAATAAGGACATTCCGTTTTAAATTTTCCTCGGACTTCAGTTTTTTTGTGATTTTACTTTTTGTGATCCTTACTAATTAAAAATTGAAGGCGAACGCGCATTCCTTGTGTAGGGTGTGAAATCAAACTCTATTTTTTCCTGGCTAGCGATATAATAGATGGAATAATTTGGGCACTCGTAAACGAGCTAACTGTTACAAACATTAAGCACATGTTTTTTTGTATAAGGCGATAAAAGTGACGTGATACTCACATAAGCTGACGATATGTTACTAACAGAAGGTTGCCTGTTACTAATATACGGCGACGTTTTGTTCACATTAGCCGACGACATGTTGCTAAAAGAAGGTGGCTTGTAACCAATATATTGCCGTGTGTAAACTACATGTATATAGGGTGGGCACATGATGCTAAAATATGGTTAAGTTTATGTTGAGATTTATAATCAACAACAAACAACTCTTATAGTTTATTTTTATATCAACTCTTCACAAATGTATTACAGATTCATTGGTAACTACTAAAACGTATTATTTTGTGCCGACCTCATGAGAATTGTCATTTCCAAATGATTCAAACAGTTTGTTCATATTTAAGCTAGATCTATTTTATCAGTATAACATGATGTGTACCCAACGACTGTGCTTTATGTGCTCCTAATATATCATTACCATGATTACTTCCCTTATATTCATTTCCGGCTGTAAATAGAAACAAAAGATAAACATATATAACTGCATAGATTTGGTTCATTATCAATTATGAAAAGCTCAGACATGTCAATATCTTATAAAGTATCAACATGCACATTAATCAAACTTAGATTGCAACATCTAACAAGCATGAATAAAATATAAAAATTATGTAATACTAGATACACACAAATCTTATTAACTCTTTAGTAATTCAATAAACAAATATGGATATTAGCGTGTTTTTACTTGCAGCGTTTTTTTAAAATCTTGCTTTTCCCGGTCATAATTTGTTTTCATTTGTTGAGTTCTTGTATTATATGTTTGAGTTATAATATTTTAATATTGTTGAAATATGTGAATTTCATATTTCGCAGTCTTTTTATATACATTTCAATGTGTGATTCAATTTTGAATATTGTATTTAAAAGAGTATTGACCATAATAGTGAACACTTTGACATCCTTGATCTTTTTTTGTACTTTCCAACCATCCTCATATTTGTTAAAACACTCATTTCTTCACACCTTTTCTTGTTTATATGAAAATAAATTTTAATTTCGTTCGGTGTCTTTCAGATCTCAAAAATAAGACTGTTCCTCTGGTATCTTTGGCCCCTCTTTTTCTTGTTTTTGCATTGCCTTACTAAACACCGATTGACTTCTAGACCAACCGTCGTACTCATTCATAAAAAAATATCAATCAGTCTACAATTAAATGACGTCATTCAACAATCGATTATCACATGGAGGTTATTACATAAGCATTGTGACTGGAAATGAGCGGGAAAATAAACGAATGTCATGGTAGTCTATGATATTATTCTAAATATGTTTTCTATAAATAGATAATTCTACAAGCTTCAATACATTTCGAAATATATGTATATACATGTAAGGATATGAAAGATAAAATTTACCTGATTTATACATACAGTCTATCCTATGCGACCAAGAATAAATTGAAGGAAGAAAAGCATGACTGAAAAAGAAAAAAATACAATGTATAGTAATGATTTCCATGGACGATTGTACTTCTACAATGTTCTAGTCCATACTACAGATTTTTTAGTTAGATATATATGAATACAGAGAACAAAAATCGTCACGTAGGAACCATCCCCGCTTTTGGAATGGACCCCGTCCTCTTTTTTCTAAATATCTATTTTCTAAAGTAACTATTTTGAAATATTTTAACCTATTTTCACTAATTCAAAGTGTTCTTGCTGTTATCCATACGATTTTCCATATTTAGCTTCATAAAAACTTTGTCGTGTACCTAAAACGTTAACTGAATAGCATGAATAATTTATTGATGAAAATAGTAATCTAAGAATATTTCGGTTTAAATAATACAATAATAATAATAATAATTAGAATAATACCTAGTATGTTGTAAAAAAGAGGTGAAAGGTACCAAAGAGATATCTAAACTCATAAGTCGGAAACAAACTAGCAATGCCATGGCAACACGAACCCCACCAACAATGGGTGTGATATTAGGTGCTCTGGAAGGGTTAGCATAAGCCGGCACCCGTCGTGATATTATGTAGTAATAATATACAGCAGTTTTTATAAACATATAATGTCTATTCATTCCTGAATGTTATGAGGGTCTGGATGGGCCATTGGGCGTCGTTCCTTCATTCCTTTTATTTGTTTAATTACTTTTAAGACCATTTTCTCTTTTCTTTATTTATTTTGTCCATTTTCTCTATTTTGTAAACCTTATCTAGAACCTCGGAGAGAATACATATTAAATATATACGTGTAATGGAACTTACTGATCAAATTAAAAACGCTTTCGAATCCACCTCCACCACCTCCGAAAAGACCTCCTCCAAATCCACCACCTCCACCTCCTCTACGCCTTCCTCCTGTTCTTGCAATTATGGCTGGAGTAACTCTCCCATTTCCTCCTCCTTGTCGTCTTCCACCTACAAAGTAGGGTACCGGGTAGTAATAAGGGTAATACAAGGTACCGCCCCCACGCCTAGTAGGACGATAACCACCGCCTTTTCCGTAACCGCTGTATCCACTTCCGCCGTATCCTTTGCTGTATCCTCTGTTGGATCCACTGCCGTATGATGCAGTACGTCCATAAACACCTCTTCCATAACTTCCTCCGCCATAACTACCTGCTGATCTTACGCCGGCAATGCATACTGCCGCCAGGGCAACACAAACACACAATTGAATCTCCGTTTTCATTGTCATTCGTACCTACGAAATAAAGTAGAATAAATTCATAAGTAATATGAAAAGTTTTAAAGATAAATTATGATAGAAATGACGAATTTTTATTTTCTATTTGAGCGATTTAATATATTTAATAATAGTACGGAAGCACATGTGTTAGTTTTGGTAAAACACGTGTTTTTGTTTTCATCGACACATGTTTTAGAATACCTGTAATGTTTACAATGGTTTTCCATTGGATGAAATTTGTTTCATTGCTAATTTAAACAGGTATTCTATGTATCGTATGATTTTGGCTCGTGTTTCTCGTACTTGTTGTTTGATATAAATTAAATGTAATCAATGTAATTTATAATGTTATTATTCGAAGTTCTGCTGACGAGAAAAGACTTCCTCAAGCTGAAAGCAGAGCTTTCAAAACCATCAAGGAGAAGAAAAGTCGTACTGAACCTTACGCTAAGCCTTCAGCTGCTGTTTCCAGACCTCCTACTAATACTGAAGATATACCTCATCAACAGTACAACCAGCCGCCCTTTCGTAGGAATAGTCGACGAGAGGCGACTTCCTATGACATGTGTTATGAATGCCACTAATTGGAACACTGGAGGACAAACTGTCCCAATAGAAGCAACAAGCAATTTATACCAAGGAACAACCCAGCAACATAAGATAAAAGATAAGTATCTTAATTTAGTAGACAAATATTTGCTGCATGGGCACATGAATATACTTTTTCGAAAATGTCATTACTACACTGAACTAGTGACAAGTTCAGAGATAAATTATTAAACTTTTGTACGTGAAGATTTTGTACTTCGACAGCGAGATTTTCAATTTTTGTGTATTTCCTTCGAGTATAAATCTGAACAGTGATTTTAACTGCATATAAGACCATGTTTAATTTGATGAATATTTTTTCTAATGTCTCGAATCTTGAAAAAATCAGGTATTATCATATACATAATTTTAGAACCCGTAATTTTGACTTTAAGTTACAAAATAAAATTGTTTTAATGTCAGCGTGGTCAAATTTTAAATTACAGTACCTAAAACTATCTATTTGTTTTCCGAGCTTTAAATGTAATAGTAATACTTATTAACTTACAGAGATGGAGCTGTGGTAAGTGGTTGTTTTCACACAGTAATCCAGATACCTATCGTCACTTATATATAAGCAAATATCTATATCAACAACCAATCAAATTGCTTAAAATACGTGAACATGGAAATGAACCATTTTTAGTATTTCCTTTGCCGCTAGAGAGTTGTACTTGTCTTTCGTAGTAACGATTAATATCCGACAGCTGACATATCTTTTTTTTAAATTAATTGAGACATCACCATGTTGTGTTATATATGAAGAGAATTTAGACATTTTACATCTGAATTAATACAAGAACAGTTTAATGGGAATATGCAGTTCAAAACAATTCCTGTTATGAACTAACATTTAATTTGCGTTTGACTGACATAGTGACCTATTCTGCTAATATGTATATGTTTTATTTGGAAAAATGCACACCAGTCTCAAAGAGAAAATTCATATCGACGACAAAAACTGAAACCATCTCTTGTATTGCCAAGTATGTATGTAAGTGTCCGCAGTTAGTTTTGGAGGTTTCGATGACATATATGTGTCTTATTTCTTAATATTGAAGCTACGGTTTTAGATGTTTGTGTGATCACTGTATATTTTCTCCTAGTCATACAAATAAACAATTATCTATCATCAATTTGTTCATGATGCAATTTATCTATTATGTTTGTTTTGTTTGTTTGGGATTTTTCGTTATGGATATTTGTCATTAATCTTTGTAAGAAGCGTGATTCTGTTCGTGCTATGGTGGACCTTTTTGTTCTGAATTTATAAACCTCTCATTGTGTAAGTTTTCATTCGTATGCCTTTTTATTCTTGTTAAATAAAAATAACACAACAAATTTCATGCGTCCGCAGCTTTTTCCTGGTTTTACCTTGATCAGGAACGCTCAAACCTAAACGTTTGAATGTCAGGGATGTAGAATAAGTAGAAATGTTAGGCGCTTTATGATCAAAATGAACCTAAAAAGAAAGGCTTATTTTATTTTAGGTCAAATTTGCCTGAAGGGAGTTGGACCATACGTAAGTTTCTTAGTAACGTTTATAAATCTCTTTATTAATCAAGATATATATATATATATATATATATATATATATACAGCACAAACAAAAGACCAAAAGAGTGAACAAGTATATTTTAACAAAACGCATTTGACTAACAGGTCGAACAACAAATGTTCTTAAACCCTGCTGACTGCCATTGGCGATTGCCAAATAAACGGATCACCGATGTAATAAATGGATCTTAAATATAAATTTAATACTAAACAGAAAACAATAAACTTGCGGAAAAGATGTTATACCGCAAACAAAAGGTGCAAAGGTTTTTGTACACCATATCCGGATTTCGACAATTAATGTCTCTTCAGTGATGTTAGGAATCGAAACGGTATTTGGAAAGCCATACAATTTACCTCAATTTAGGATAGACTCTTGAATTTTGAAGAGTCAAAATAGGATGAACGAATCATATAAACCCGAATTTAATACTAAACAAAAAATAATAAACTTGCGTTTAGTATTAAATTTATATTTAAGATCCATTTATTACATCGGTGATCCGTTTATTTGGCAATCGCCAATGGCAGTCAGCAGGGTTTAAGAACATTTGTTGTTCGACCTGTTAGTCAAATACGTTTTGTTAAAATATACTTTTTCACTCTTTTGGTGTTTTGGAAAATGTTGTTTGTGCTGTATTTAGACCCCTCTAACAAGAAATTTGTTTTGCATGCATACGTATATAAATTGCGGTTTTTATCCAACGCAATCGTAGGTTTGAACGTTGTTTTCAATTTAGACTTGTTTATATTTTTTCGTTTGGGCTTGTATTATATTTGCCTTCGGGTTTATATGATCCGTTCATCCTATTTTGACTCTTCAAAATTCAAGAGTCTATCCTAAATTGAGGTAAATTGTATGGCTTTCCAAATACCGTTTCGATTCCTAACATCACTGAAGAGACATTAATTGTCGAAATCCGGGTATGGTGTACAAAAACCTTTGCACCTTTTGTTTGCGGTATAACATCTTTTCCGCAAGTTTATTGTTTTCTGTTTAGTATTAAATTTATATTTAAGATCCATTTATTACATCGGAGATCCGTTTATTTGGCAATCGCCAATGGCAGTCAGCAGGGTTTAAGAACATTTGTTGTTCGACCTGTTAGTCAAATGCGTTTTGTTAAAATATACTTTTTCACTCTTTTGGTCTTTTGGAAAATGTTGTTTGTGCTGTATTTAGACCCCTCTAACAAAGAAATTTGTTTTGCATGCACACGTATAAAAATTGCGGTTTTTATCCAACGCAATTTTAGGTTTGAACGTTGTTTTCAATTTAGACTTGTTTATATTTTTTCGTTTGGGCTTGTATTATATTTGCCTTCGGGTTTATATGATCCGTTCATCCTATTTTGACTCTTCAAAATTCAAGAGTCTATCCTAAATTGAGGTAAATTGTATGGCTTTCCAAATACCGTTTCGATTCCTAACATCACTGAAGAGACATTAATTGTCGAAATCCGGATATGGTGTACAAAAACCTTTGCACCTTTTGTTTGCGGTATAACATCTTTTCCGCAAGTTTATTGTTTTCTGTTTAGTATTAAATTTATATTTAAGATCCATTTATTACATCGGTGATCCGTTTATTTGGCAATCGCCAATGGCAGTCAGCAGGGTTTAAGAACATTTGTTGTTCGACCTGTTAGTCAAATGCGTTTTGTTAAAATATACTTTTTCTCTCTTTTGGTCTTTTGGAAAATGTTGTTTGTGCTGTATTTAGACCCCTCTAACAAGAAATTTGTTTTCCATGCACACGTATAAAAATTGCGGTTTTTATCCAACGCAATCGTAGGTTTGAACGTTGTTTTCAATTTAGACTTGTTTATGTTTTTTCGTTTGGGCTTGTATTATATTTGCCTTCGGGTTTATATGATCCGTTCATCCTATTTTGACTCTTCAAAATTCAAGAGTCTATCCTAAACTGAGGTAAATTGTATAGCTTTCCAAATACCGTTTCGATTCCTAACATCACTGAAGAGACATTAATTGTCGAAATCCAGATATGGTGTACAAAAACCTTTGCACCTTTTGTTTGCGGTATAACATCTTTTCCGCAAGTTTATTGTTTTCTGTTTAGTATGAAATTTATATTTAAGATCCATTTATTACATCGGTGATCCGTTTATTTGGCAATCGCCAATGGCAGTCAGCAAGGTTTAAGAACATTTGTTGTTCGACCTGTTAGTCAAATGCGTTTTGTTAAAATATACTTTTTCACTCTTTTGGTCTTTTGGAAAATGTTGTTTGTGCTGTATTTAGACCCATCTAACAAGAAATTTATTTTGCATGCACACGTATAAAAATTGCGGTTTTTATCCAACGCAATCGTAGGTTTGAACGTTGTTTTCAATTTAGACTTGTATATATATATATATATATATATATATATATTGCATATTAAATCAATACTAAAGATCTATTTTAAGTTTTACTAAAACATAATTTTCTAATACATGCGATATGAATTACACATGTAATTATATATATATATATATATATATATATATTATCTAAATAATTTTTAAAATATCTTAATTCATAGAAAGTTCGTAAGATAACTCAAAGGTAAACCAATCATATCTATATTTTATTTGTTGTTTAGACTTTCCACAGATTACATCTAAAAAAAGGTCAGGAAAGTTTGCTGGGGATTTTGTAGTATTGTCATGCATTCATATTATATGCCCAACTTCCTAGTTTAAGTCAATCACATATATAGAAAGTATTTCCAAAATGTATATGTCAATGAAATGTACAATCTTCCTTAAAATGTATGTCACTTCCGACATGTATAGCCTTATTAACATTTATGACCTTTCTGAAATTTATAACCTTTCTGACACATTTACCTACACAATTTT